GCCCAAAAAAGGAATACTGAGAAACATTCTTCTCTAATCACTCCTGTTACCGCTACTAACTGCTGTTCTAAATATGATTAGTATATACACACTCAGTGATCTTGGTGATTTAAGCAATCTGATTGGTTCGCTATCTCGGACTATTCAACAATATTCACCTCCTAGCGAGTGGATAATGTGTGAGCTCGGTGTTTTTCCCGTTTTTTTTAGAGAACGATCTTTTAAAAGTCGACAAAATCCTAGGGCTGACTTTTTTTAAGGCAAGAAAAGACTCGGAAGGATTCAATACGGCGTTTTTCAATTTACTGTAGCAGGAGTTTTGTGCTCGATGGATTGTTTACAACTCCCGTGTATTCGCGTAGAAGAAGCCGTTTCGTGAACTCAGCGTTTTCTAAGAAGAAAATTTTGACTCAAAAATCGAAGTTTATTTATGACAAACAAATTTAAAAGGAAATGTTTGCAGAAATTCTACATTTCAAGTAAACAGGAAAAAGAATGATACAGGAAGACGACCTCTTACCTCGAGCAACCGAGCCGCCATTTTTGTCAGCACTTCATGCGAAGAACGACACAACATGCCCTTTTGGCTATAAACTTGGCGAGTCAACAGAAAACAACACAGCTCTACTTTTTTTCTCAGGTAAGGAAACAGCTCAAACTTTTAGCGATTCCATTGAAGCCATTACGCTGTTGTTTGCGAAATGAGTAAACTTGTGAATTGCCATGTTTGAAAATTCTGCAAAGATCTATTTTTAAACTTACGCGTGATTTGATCTGTCAATCAAATCCTACTTTTGAATGGTTTCCTTTCTGATTTTGTTGAGATCACTTCGTGTGTATATACTAAAACAATTATTCTTCTCAATCTCGGTGAATAGTGGCTTTGGGAATATTTACCTCGCCGCTTTCGCGGCTCGGTAAATATTTTGCCACTATTCACCTCGATTTCAAAGAATAATTGTTAATTATAACAGTGTAATGGGACAGTGCCCGTCATATATACCTAAGTAATGGTACAATAATTAGTCTGGGGCCTTATGTCACTTCCGTAGATATTTCATGATCATTTTAGTTTCTAAGCTGGAATCTATGGTTTTGAGCATGCTAATTTCAAAAAACTGTGTCACCAATTTTTTTTAGCCATGGTGACGTCATTTTTATGCAAATAAAATATGACGTCATCGACTAACATTTTAATGGCTTCTTTGGGACCCAAAATGAATAAATGCGATCAAAAAATTGTATTTTTTGTCACATTTTCACAGCTTGACCCAAGTTACCTTATTATTTTGTTTTCCATAACATTGTTTTTATATATGCTAATTAGTAATGACGTCAAACACCGATTTTAAATTTTACAAATGAGCGAATAAAATCGGTTGCACACGGGTGAGAATTTTGGCAATAATCATTTTTGTATTGTCAACCTCTCCAAGAATATAACTTGATGAACATTTCACTTTTATGAATTCAATAAATTTAAAATTATGCAAATCGACAGAGATGTCATAATTTGTATTGACTTCTACAATCATGGACAAAGTCTTGGGACACTTTTGCGTTTCTGGGGCGTTTTCCAATTCACACAGGTCCAACCCCTTCCCTCACCCCACAAACAATGTTTGACGCGTGTATCTAGAATTTTTTCCGGGTTTCAACTTTGTATAGGGTGGGGGAGGGAGAACTGCAATGAAATTTCGAAAATGATACACTGTTTTAAGAGGGAACTGAGAAATTACAGAAAAATATGAATATTGCAGTACTGTCCCAAGGACTTTTCTCTAGGATTGAAATCATGGACAAAAGTCTTGGGACCCCTTGCGTTTCCGGGACGTTTTCCAATTCACACAGGTCCAACCCCTCCCCTCACCCCACAAACAATGTTGGACGCGTGTATCCAAAATTTTTTCCGGGTTTCAACTTTTTATAAGGTGGAGGGAGGGAGAACTGCAATGAAATTTCGAAAATAATGCACTGTTTTAAGAGGGAACTGAGAAATGACAGAAAAATATGAATATTGCAGTACTGTCCCAAGGACTTTTGTCCAGGATTGTAGATTATGAAATAGACGTATTCTGCTAAAGCATATCAAGGTATCACCAGCTAATGATAAAGGAATTATTTCTATTTTAAACAGGTTTTTACCTCTGTCTCAACCAACAAAACTACAATCAAGAAAGAAGATCCTCCCCATCACTGTCTTCGCGTTCAATAGAAACTTCCTCCACTTTCCTGTTTCCATACTTTGTTTCAAAGCAACCACACATATCAGTACACTTCAAGCTATGCTTCTTGCATGAACAGCTCATGGTTATGCAACTTCCTTTGCAACCGCACTTGATCAGTTCAAGGACAGCTTTGGGTCCAGGAAGTAGGGTGGTCGGAACAGCCTGTAGTCTGTTGCCATCTTGAACCCATCCGTGAGATGTTAGCCACATCAGGACGTGCACCGAGCTACCAAGGCTGGCAAATGCTTTTAACGCTTGTTGTTCAGCTTTCTTTAAAGTATTCCAGCACGAGACTTACGACTTTCCACGGTACCCGTTTGATCACATCCAGTGAATGCGTGGAATCCTGGCAATGCTGCCACAAGTTGACCTCCAAGCGAGTAGTATGGAGGACGCAGTGGAATTGACTGACGCTTGTCACCAGTGCCAACAACCACTGATATTTCATCGCATAGGCTTGCAAACTTCCAAAGCGCCAGCACCAATACATCTGTGTCGGAGCTGTGGATACTGAGGGATGTTGCTCCTTTCTCTGTGGTATCGATGGCATGTAGAAGCATGCAAGTGTCTGCTTCCTCTTGGGTACTGGTGAGGTGTTCAACTGATAGCTTGTTGGACTTACATTCATGCTTCAGGGTTACCACATTGGTCTTCAGGGAGTCTTTCTTACACTCAAGGATGTGAGATGCAAAATAGATACACAAAGACTCCTTGTTGACATTACTGCTTACCAGCTGCTTGAGCGTGATCTTTTCGATGACACCATCATTGGTCATTTGTACGTCATTGGACTGTTGCAACCTTGACGAAACTGTCGAGTTCCTTCCTTGAGGGAGTTTGGAAAGTCATAGCGATCAAAAATAGCATGGACTTCGTCACATTCGAGAGACTTTCTGTCAATGATCTCAAGGAAATGACACGCAAGATTTCGACCAGTGCGAACCCACGTTGGCTTCCCCATCGATTAAATGACTGCCATTTCATCAATAACGATAACGCTTCCTAAACGTCGAGATTGGTGTTCGTCTCTGTCGGAAGATTTGTGAGGAAGCAAATTCTCCAAGATACTCATTAACTTGCTCTTGCCAATGCAGTGGCGAAGGTTACCATCCGAACTGAACAGCCCTCTTGGAAATGTAGACAACTCGAATTCACTAATGATTTCCTTGAGGTCAATCTTAGGTCTTGAAAGAACAACATCGAGGAAACGGGCGAAAAGAGCCCTGTCATCTCTCAGAGCAGCAACCTCTGCTGTTGTGTTGCTTTTCTTAGTTGACCTTGCTGTTTTTCATGTCTGCAGGTTAACTTTTTTCACTGGACTCCGAACGCTAAGTTCACGCTCTACGATCCTTTCTTTCACAAACTTTGAAAAGAGTTCTTAGCCAACTTTATCACGTGTGACAACTACATCTTTCACCTGGTCTGGCATGACAGCCTTGGTGACAATATTGACCAGTTCCGTATCTTCGCCAGCAAATGGATTATTTGCTCTGAATACTTCTTATAGCTTTTTTACATTTTCATCAAAACGAGAAATCACAGCCATTGATAGATCGTGGTGATGTGTCGAGCTGAGCGTCTGTATGCCCTCCAAGGTTTCTGCTTCTGCAGCTGATCGACTCAGTTCTGGCACAATAAGAAACTATCTTGCCAAAGCTGTTGGTTGTTGAGTCAAACCCTTGAAGCCACCTTGGATCTTCATTGTTTTTTTCTCGTGCTCAATTGCATGGTCCGGTACTATTGCACAAAATGGAATGTCGTTTTTGTTGACACAGAAGTTCCCCTTCATGAATTCTTCATGCAAGTCCGGATCACTTAATTCAAGTTGCTCCATCTGTGCAAGGTAGAGCGGTACCGTTCGGGAATAGTTAAGTCGATCATGCGCAAAGAAATACTTGCACAAGGACTTAAGTGATTCCAAATGAGGTTTCCAGTTGCCTTCTCTAGTGGCACGAAGGAACATGCGTATACAAGGTACAAACTTCATGTAGTCGTTGGCAAACTTGAACATAGGATGTTGGGCCTTCATCTCTTGGTCAAACTTATCTAGCTTAATTTTGAATGCCTCTGTTTCCTCTTCTCTCAGGATCTTCTCATGGTACACTCCAAGATCACTGTATTGACGTGGCCCCTAGTGGCAGGAAGCATTCATCGAGGAAGCGGCGAGACACACGTTTGGATAGTCAGTATCACTCTCGTCCTTCTCTGTCCTCAGGAATGCTTCAACATGCAAGTCAGAGAGCACCGAGTATGTCATACTGTGTGCAGTTAAGACGCGCTTCATGTGATTGCAATCAAGAATTTGGTGTTTCGTAGTGACCCATATATCTCAGCTTCTACCCAAGCATCATCGAAACCACTGTCCTCAATGGATGTTCCAAGAACACGTAAGGCTGCCATTACTGTGTGCAGTTCGCCTAGCCGGAGAACAAAGTGATCTAGCGCTGGTGCGGTAAGTAGTTGCAGCCTGACGGCCTTCTCATAAAGCTGAAGATCAAAGGTTATCACTGCCTTGTGACTTTCACGCAATACCACAGTTGTAATATTCTGAGCTTGCTTAAGCACTGTCATGATGGTACTCCACCCGTGTGCGGGTGCCGCTAATAGAGGCATCATGGCAACGGTGGTGAGCGGTAGCGTTGATGAACTGATTTTAGAATTATACGCCGGCCACGTTGGGATCATCGGATTTTCAGAGCGTGATCGTGCAAGTGATTGCGCCACTGACCATACCAAATCATCTTGTACTGCACCATTTGTGATGTCTGGAGTTGAGCTTGTTTCTAATCGGCAATACCTTGGGCACCTTGGCTGAGTGTTAGCGGGAACATAGCATGGTAAAAGTTCGGTCGCAAGTATGGAGCTCGATGGTAGAGATTTGGATTTAGCGTTCTTGCTAAGATCTAAAGTAATTTCAGGCGAGTAGTCTGTTTTCCTTTGGAAGACGGCCATAGCTGTAGCATGCAGAGTGTTTTTACCCTCGGGAGTGTCCTCAGAAAAATCGGAGTTGTCAACAGCAAAATAGATGAATTGGCCTCTTGCTAACGCTGGGGGAACATAGATGCCACGATCAGCTGAATGTCTGGCTTCAGCGAGCTGAGTCTCAATGCGTAATATGCGTGTATAGTCAACAGACACACCAAGTTTGTGTAGTAGGTCAGTCGAAGATCTGCTTTGAAACTGTTGATGGGCTAATACACCTACTCCAACTTGCGATGCACATTCACGCTGATGTCGGAACGGCTTCTCTGTCTCATCAGATTTGGGTATATGCCTTCCCTGTCGATCTGTTTTCACTTCAAACATGATTTGTTGCAAAATAAGGGTGGCTTTTTTGCTGACTTCACCAACGCGTTTCTCTTTGAAGTTCAGTCGTAACACCCGAAAGAATCCACTGAAGAAGGGTAAAAAGCTTCGTAGAGATCATCGTTCTCGTGTCTGTGTCCAGTTTCCCATCAAATTGCCAGTTCTTTGCTTTTAATATTTCTTGGCGAATAATCTTAGCGCAGTGAGAAATTGTCTTTAAGTCACTGTCTGAGCAGTTTTCAATTGCGGAATCTATAACAGCAATTTTTGCTGCGGTCAAATAAAATCGATCTGGCTCGTTGCGTCGAAATGCATGAGCAAATTCAATGCCATCAATACTGGCGATCATAAGTTCTCTCAAATGCTTTCGAGAAGGAGAAGCTTCACAAAGATGATACTTCAAAATATCCCACTACGTCTTGTATGATTCATCGAGAGAGAGCGTATTGTTCCCTTCTCAAGCAAGCTTCTCATAAAATTTAGCAACTCTATGTTTGCAGCAATCTTATTTTCCTGCTGGACAGTACGCTCAGGTTCTGCGAACTACATGTTTTGTCCAACAAGTACGGTGGTACTGAACATCAATGGACAAGGCATCACCTGGCTTAATTACGTTGCTTAGGTACACTTTGTATAAGTCATTATCACAGTTTTGAACAATTTCATGAAGCTGTTTTCCTCTACTTTGAAAGTTTTTCGTCGTGTGTTTGACAAAATAAGCGCAGCTCCTTATTATATGCTGCAGTAGACAATAGATAAACGTTGTGGTACAATAGGAGTTTTGCCCAGCTCAATTGGACGGCATGATTTTGACTCGAGTGAAGGCCGTCCCGCAGCTCGAGAGAGCACAGCGACGTCGTTTGAAGAAACTGCTTTTTCAAACCTTGCCTGGGCCCTTTTGAGTTTCTCAGAACTTACAGTGCTTTTCCGGCAACTGGCATGAAAGCTGGTACTACTCTGTTTAAGATCTTCTTCTGACACACCTTCTAAAAGCTTACTTGCCTCCGCAAACTCACTTTCACCATATTTCCCTCGAGAGAACACGTAGAATAAGATGTTTTCATCGATGCTAATGTTTTGCACTAGTGCTTCAGTTGTCTCCTTTTGACAGATTATACATTTCTTAAAGTCAACCTCTCCAGTTCGTCTTTTTTTCTTTGGAATATCCATTGCTAAGGAATCTAAATTAGTAACTTAATATGTCTTTCTTAATAAGATTTCTTAAAACATTCTTTGGCTAAAAACAGTAAGCATTGTCAAGTTTTCCATTGCCAGTCTGCAATTTTTGCAGAATGTAAATCGAAAGCTTGTACAGCGGTAGTTTTTTAAAGAGAGAATATTTTAAAAGTATCATAAGGTCTATTCCTGTTTTTTTTTTTTTTTTTTTTTGCACGTTTTTAAATGTCTTTTTTGTAGTAAGATTCTTTTCGGACTCACATTATGGTTTAAAAACTACGTTATTGACCCCTGTCTGTTTTGAGTAATCGAATTAAGATTTCACTGTGAAATTGAATCAGTTTCAGCAATTTCATTAAATACATACTCAAACACAATATGCAACAATATATTTGACCGAGAGCCATAATGTTTTGCCAGTCAGCTTTGCCAAATCATCTAAAAATAAAGATATTTTAATGAATTAAGACAATCTTGGCACAATGCATTGTGGGTAAAAAAGTGAAGAATTTAAAAAACATAAAAGAAACGCCATATTAGGATATATTGAAATTTTTTTTCGATTCCATTTCGTTCACTACGATGAAATATACAAATTATCGTAAATTAAGCTTTGTACATACCATTTTCGCTGCACACAACCTTCAAGAAGTTAGAGGAAAATACAAAATGGCCGACCCGATTAAAGCCAAAGACGAAAAAGGCTAAAATGTGGAAATGCAGCCTTATATATCCTGTATGATTTGTATTGCATTTTAGCATGTGAACTTTATTTACTTATAATGAATAACTCTTGTTAGAGTAAATAAAGATGGAATAAGTTATTTTGTTTCTCACGCACAGGGATCCCAGTCACTTCTCCTGTTGCTTTACTTTACTACACAATGTACAGTCAATGTAAAAAAAAATCCACATCAAAAAGAAAAGAGAATTAAAAAAGCACGATTAAAAGAACCTTAGAAAGTGCAAAAATTTTCATTTTATAAAAATTTCTGCTTAAAGCAGATAAAGCGAATGCTTATCGCAATTAACTTATTAAAATAAAGTGACCGAAAAGATTATCTATGGGTTTGTTTACTTAGAAGACTGTTGAAAATTACTATTTTTAATTACAGAATATTTATTTCGATGATTGAGACTACAAAATGAAATCTATATTTCTCTGTTGCCTGTATATGAAAGTTTGTGATACTGAATAATGACGTCAGTTCTAATTTGCATATGGATGACGAAACCATGGCTAAAAAATTGGTGTCAAAGGTTTTTGCAATCTGCATGCTCTAAACAATGCGTTTCAACAAAGAAACTAAAATGATCATGAAATTTTCACGGGAGTGACATTTTAACATAAGGCCCCAGACTAAATAACGCAATGCTGCGAGCGCTCTTCGATGTTTGTCGTTGTTGTTGTTTTATGTTTTCTTCTAGTCGCAAAAAGCTCTTGCTAGATCTTGTGTTTTAAAATTCAGAAAATCTGACATTATCACAAATTTTGTTTAGTTATGATTAATTGTTGCTTATGATTAAACAAATCGAACTCCAGCTATGTGGTCTCCTGACTCCACTCAGTCCTATTTCCCTTATTAATTATCTAAGTATTATAATTATCATTTAAATTACTATTATTATTATTATTATTATTATTATTGTTATTGTTATCATTATTATTTCTTGCTCTGTGCACTGGCTGATCTCATAGCGTTGTACTTGCTAAGGGAGCGAGTCATAACCCATGAAAAAAGGACCCTTAGATCTCGACTCCTTACTCGAGAACTCTAATACTTTTCTTAAAATCCTTTCTGTTCCAGTAGCGTAGTTTTTGGGGGGCAGTGAAATACTAATTCTTATGTCCAACTTTCCAGCCACTTCTCCAAGTTATTTGTCACACTTGCAAATAATCCTGCAACAATCTGTATCACCTGCACAGTTCTCTTGTTCCACATTCTTGTAATTTCCCGTTAAGCTCCTGATATTGTTTAACCTTTTCAACAATTCTCTTATCCTCTGCTACAGCAATATCGACAATGGCGCACTCCCTCTCCTGTTTGTTTACAACCACATGATCATGTCTATTGTAGCATTGATGACGTATTCACATTGGATGTTCATTATCCCACACTATTTTAACTTCATCGCTTTTACTCACACTGTCAGCCACGTGTTCGTACCACCTATCCTTCTTTTGCACATGATATTTCTCACATAACTTCCAACGAACTACTTTTGCAATATTGTCATGTCTGTTTATATTCCCTTTGGGCTACCTTTTTAGGTACCAGACAATAATTATAGTTTACACTCTCGCCTTTCTCACCAAATTACCTACATAAGGGGGATTCGCGCGGTCTTGTCAATATGGTATCAGTTACATGGTTGGTCTTGAGAGCTTGTTCCTGGCCTGCACAAATAAGTGCTTCTGTTTGGATATTCAAGTCTGCTTTTCGTAACCAGCACTAAGTTTTCTTAGACGTGTTGTTCCGGGTATTCCTCTTAAAAATTGACCATGCAGCCTTTTTCTCCTTTTAGCGGTCCAATTTCAGCTCATTGTTCCAAGATGTCTTGAATTCATCTTTACTGACAGTTACTTCACTCTTAATTTTACCAGTAACCCTTACCCCTTGCAGTAAAACATCCCAAGAATTCCTCACATACCACCTCAAACTGTTTTCATCACCTCTCATACTAACCCCTCACAGCTTATTGGTCCCCAGCCTCCCATCCGTATTTCCCTCACCATGGAAAGAATCTGAAATTGTTCCAATTCTAAAGGATGGAGATCCGGAAGTAGCCAACGGGAATAGACCTGTGTCGTTGTTAGCTGCCCTATCTAAGATATGTGAACGAGTAGCCTTAAATCAATTCACCGAATGAATGCAATGAGGAGAAACTGTCTCAGTGGACACCAGAGTGCGAATAAGAAACGGCATTCGACAGAGACACTCAATATTTTGATGTCAGATCTAGCCCTGGAGGAAATGGATCGCAAGCAAGTCACTGCCTTGATGTTATTAGATCTTTCCAAGGCATTTGACAGCATTGATCACATATCCTTGTCAAAGAAGCTAAGTGCAATGGGTACCTCTAAAGAAGCAATAGAATGGTTTAGAAGCTCCTTGACCGGAAGAAAACAGTCGGTGAGAATCGGTTGCGAAACATCTGAACCCCGCCTAGACTCGTATGGTGTACAGCAAGGATCAATTTTGGGCCCGGCATTGTTTAATATATACATCAACGATCTACCATCTGTACCTAAGGTAGGGTCGTAAGAGTGCTATATTGATGACTCAAAGTTGTACCTCTCATTTCCTGTACGTGATGCCACCTTAGCCGCAGCTCAGCTGACAGAAGATCTTCGGAACATAGCTGCATGGTGTTGCAAAAACAGTCTACTCATTAACCCGGACAAAACAAAACTTCTGGTTCTGGGGACTCCGAAGTTGCTGATGAAGATACAAGATGATCTAAGCATTACACTACTCAGCAAGGAGATTACATCATCTAAGTCTGCGAAAAACCTGGGGGTTACAATGGACTGTAATCTAACGTACGACGAACATGGAAATCAATTAACTTCGAAATATATAGGTAGCCTTTGTCAAATAAATCGCGTAAAATAACTGTTTGATAGGCGTACGTTAATCACTATAATCAATTCTCTCGTATTCAGTAAATTATTGTATTGTTCATCAGTATGGGCTAATACCACCAAGAAAAACATCGAACTATTACAGACAGTGCAAAATTTTGCAGCCCGGATAGTTTCTGGAACGAGGAAATTTGATCATGTTACACCTATTCTTAACCAGTTACAGTGGCTGCCAATTATTAAACAACTTGATGCTACAATGGTATTGAAATGCTTAAATGGACTGGCACCTCCATATCTTTGTCAGAAGTTTAAAACCAGATCGGAAGTCCACAACTGCAACACTAGGAATAGAGACCGCCTACATATACCACTCTGTAGGACGGCTGCAGGTCAGCGTGCGTTTACCTTCAGAGGCCAAAGGCTGTGGAATGGTCTCCCAGACGAGTTTCAGTTTATCACTAATTTAGATGTATTTAAAGTTAAAATAAAACAGCATTTTTCAAGGGTATTTTTGGAAAACTAAGTTTTAGATATTTGACATTGTAAATTAAGTTGAAAGGCCTTTTTGAGGAGATTAATAAAGTTATTATTATTATTATTATTATCATCTTCCCTTGAAACATACAACCTATCAACATCGCATTTTGAATGGAAAGCACCATTCATTGTCAATGCCTTTCTAGTCATTGTATCCAATGTTTTCAGTTCTTCCTTTGTCCATCTTCCATGCTCCACACCTCAGATCATCACTGACACTGCGCAGGTGTTAATTCGCTATAACCTTATTCTTTCCATTCAATGTTGATTTCAACATTCGTTGTAGTCTTCTTTTTTATCCTCTTGCATTTTTTTTCATTTCCTTTTCGTTTATTACATCGGCCTGAAAAATCCCCAGTTATATATACCCTTCTTCACCAATTTCTCCCACTGTTCGCCCATCCAAAAAAGTTATACCCTCAAACCTTAACTTTCTTTTGCCTTATCATTACCAACGCACTACACTTTCTCAACCCAAACTGAATTCCAATATCCTCACTGGTCACTGTACAGTTTGCACCAACGAATCTATTTGGTGTTCACTTTTCCCAAACAATTTCAAGTCGTCCATAGAAAGATGGTTAACCTTAAATGCTTTGCAAGATCATAACCTGCTCTTGATTATCTCGAAACCATTGTTAATGGAATCATGCACAAAACAAATAGCCCTGGAAATTTCCTCTTCTATAATGTGAATGACTTCCAACCTCTTGCCTGATGATGATAACTCTACTTTACGTGTCTGCATACTATCAATAATAAACTTTTTCACATTCTCAGCTATCTCAAACATCTCCAAACACTCGATAGTCCAGCTATGTGATATCATGTCATATGCTTTCCGGTAATCACTCCAAGCCATCACCAA